TGGGGGGGGGGGGGGGTTGACAATAATATAACGAAGTATTTTCTCAGATATCACTACTCTAACCTTTGGGGTAACTATTATTCCCTCCGTCTCAAAATGATTTACTTCTTTTAATATTACGGCATCTCGATAACTTTTATTTGCATGTTTTCATCTCTATATTAAAAACTGATGCATTTAGTCATGTACTATTTATTTTTGTTCAATTTGGTCCTTTTATTATTTTCATTAGTTGCTGTAAAAACTATTAAAGAGAGGTTACATGTATTTTTTGGCTTAGGTGATATGGACTGTGCTGATGTGGCAAACTAAACAATACTCCCTCCTTCCCAAAATAAACACACTTTCTTTAATTTGGTTCTTCTAAAACTAAAGTCTAATTTATCTATTTGTAAGGAATATGTGGCAATCATTATCTCTCTATTTCAAATCAATTTCAACCAAACATTTGTTGTATTTAGATTTTCATTGTCACCTCAACAGAAAAATACATGTCATGCCTTACAATAATTTTTGACAGTAATTAATGGGAATTGTAAGCGGAAGGACCAAATGGAACAAAAATAAACAGTACATGACTAAATTGCACCAATTTTGAGTACAAAACTAAAATGCACAATTTTAGATAGTACAACAACCTCTGTGGTATGGTACTTTGTCCAATCATCTTCTTTGACTCACTTAGCCTTAATTTCTAAAATACTTAGGGAGACTAGGACTTTTTATTTTAAAATTAACTATTTAAGCAAGTCAACAAACACATCAATATGAAAAAGTGTCTATTAATATGTTGAAATATGAAAAAGCGTCCATTTATATGAAATATGAAAAAGCATCCATTTAAGTTTACTCATAATTGACTTAAAAAAAGTCTAGTCATAATTGCATTGTTAATCCCAATTTACATACTAAAGTTTGAATTTTGCCATGAGTAAACTTGGCAGTTTTAAAATATAAAGGAAAACAATCTCTTGAACTCTTAAATTGAAAATTACTTTTGGACATTTTTCTGGGCCAAAATGATAATTATTTTGAGATGAAGATCAGAGAGAGTATATCATCAAAATCTTAAGCATTTTTTATCAAAACTGTGAGTCTTCAATATATGCATTAGTCTCATCAAGGAATATCTGAAATGCAAACAATTACTCATGATACACACTGTGAGAAGTTATAAGCCAAGCAAATGCCTAAAAATGGACTACTAATTCTACTAAAGATTAAAAGAAGCATAACCCTCTATGAGGCTAGACCCCGTACCTCAAAGGGACTAGATAGGCGTTGTTTGAGTAGAGAAGAGTGAGATTGAAAACAAACTATTCATTTGAGGGCTAAATTGAGAAGAGATGAACTCACGATGGGATCAAACACTGCCTCCATCCGAATTTAGTTGTCCGCTTTATAAAATTTCTTGTATATAAGAAATGAATTTAAAATGTCTAATAAGTCCTTGAAATGATTTGTCATTCATTCATGTAATGAATGATCATACAGTATCTCTAGGATATTTTAGACATTTCATCAAACTTGCTCTATTGAATATCGAAAGTGGACAACTAATTCCGTAGAAAAAAAAAGCAAGTGGACAACTAATCCGGATGGAGAGAGTAGTAGTTAACTCAATAAACTGTCCATATATATGAGAAATCTAACAAGTCAGTAAGAATCTCTTCCATGGGAAATATTTGTATTAGTGTACTAACCAAATTCAGGAAGAGAATCATTAGCTTAATCAAAATTGTCAAAATGTAGCATGTACTAGTAAGGCTCATTACTATAAAGTTGACGACCATGAGAAAAATACTGCGAGGTTGACGTCCATGAAGAAAAATACTATGAAGTTGACTTATATTTAATGACACAATTGCTTGGAAGTTTGATGCAGATAATTTAAAATAAAAATGCCCAAACAGTGATGAGAGTATAACTCACAACAGAATTTTGCTGTAAAAGGTAGTCTTCAGGCTTTAAAACCATTGATGCACCTCCAGCAAAATTCAAGCTAATAGTAGGAAATATGTCTGAGACACTGTTTGAGAAGGAAAAAAAGGTCAGATTCAAAAGGCATAAATAAATGCCAGCCAAAGAGGTGAGGTAACCAAGAAGATTTAAGCTGGAGGGGTACCTGGATGTGGACACATAGCAGTGGTTCCCCTTGGTAAGGAGAAGGCGTGCAGATCCTGAAACAATCTGGGTGATCTGTGTAAACAAGAACACTAGATTACCAAACTTATAACAAATTACCCTGAAAAGTGAAAAAGAGTATTATAAATCTCATTTTCCATTTAAAATGTATACATCTAATAGTGGAATGTTTCTCTCCGTAACAATAACTTACTGTATTAATAAAGACATCAAATGCTTCCTCTGCAAGGTACGCTAAAGTTGTTCCAGAATCTACAATTGTCCCTCGATTGTTGGTTGTCGCAAATATTTGTGAGTCAATGGGTAGAGGTTGCCCATTGATAAGAATCTTCTCAAGATTTAAATTGTAATGTGGTCTGATAATTAAGAGCAGGATAAAGTATTTGTTAGTTGAGAAACATGTAAACTTATTCATAGACTAATAGTAGTAGTCAGCCGCACATAAGAAAAGGGATAAAACAATCAACTAATCTAAAAAGAATAAGAAACAAACTAATTGAAGCAAGTTATAAAAGAGGTCTTACAAATCGGGAATTATAAGTCGACATTTAAGTTTTAACCATTTGTATCTAATACCCATCCCCATCCCCATCTACGTGATACTCAATGCACATGCTGATAATCTACCACAACATCATTTAGCCCCTAAAATCAAGTCATTTTAGCATGCTCACTTATTTTGCTGGTCCAGAAGCATTAACACTTCTATATCTAATACTAAAACTCTAAAAAATTTGACAAAAGGTTCTAACGTTTTTCTGTAATTGAATAAGATAAAAGTTTTACTACATCCTTCCCATAAAAAGGTTCCACCTTTGAATTGGCACGGAGATTAAGGAAAGTGAAATTGTGTGGTTGAAAGCGATGCACATGAGAGAAAAAAGGTGGAACCTTTTTATGGGATGGAGGACTGGAGGAGTATATAATTATTAAAGGCCATTGACAACAAGTCACTTCAAATATGTTTCTAAATGCAAGCAAACTCAGCCACTGCTCCCTCTGTTTGTCCAGGGAAATATTACGGTGATAGTTAATTTAATCGCAGATTCTGAACATGGCCCTATTAATTTGTAGGCCAACTATCAAAATTAAACATAAATATCGGAGGGCAACTTGCTCATTTTAGTACTTATTATTGTATTAGGTCGCTAAATAGTCACGTGTTTAAGAATGGAGTATATTTTCTGAATTTACCAACATGCAGCATGTCGGTGTGATGTTTAAAAAGGGGAAAAAAAAACCTAAACAGCACTAGCATAGAGAAAATATTCCTATATAGGACCATTATTGTTGTTTTTGGCAAAAATGACTTTTCCACTACTTTGGAAAGTACTTCTCAAAAACAACAGTGGGTCCTGTTATTTAGTACAACAGTGATCCTGTTTGAGGATATTAACTTATTTTCTAGTCATAAACAGTGCTATATATATATATATATATATATATATATATATATATATATATATATTATACACACACACACACACACACATATATATATACGGATTTTGGATCAAATGAGAATGGTGCATAGTGAAAGAAATGAGAATGCCTATGATCCATTAGATTTAAGATCTAAGGACTATTAAATGTCAAAAATTCTGAAAAAAATTGAAAAAATCGCAGTGGCAATTTTGTAAATAAATTGAGCTTTCTGAAAATGCACTACAAGTGTACAATGCATCACGACAGTCTAAAAATGCATCATTCTCATATGCGCACAATAAGGATAATCTCACATGAACCAACCCCTATATATACATTATATGTGTGTGTGTGTGTGTGCATGTATGTATGTATGTATGTATATAATTAGCACAAACAAAAAACACTGCATGCATTCTTGTTTGGAAAGTTGGTGAAGAGGTGTTAAACTGCTAATATGCTCAAGTTAAAACTTCTAACTTACATGATCTAATAGACAGAAATGTGAAAACATACTGTGATCGGACAAGTTGTGTGTAAACGATATTCGGCTCCACAATCTGACCTAGTACAAGTACACCCCCACCTTCATTACTTCCTCTCAGACAATGAGAGAATACATTAGGTACTATTCCGTGTGATGAAAGTTGTGAGATAACGGACATGCCTTGCTGGCCAAATCCAAAGATTCCATCAACTGCACGGTCAGGCTTTGCCAAATCCTCGTCCAGAGATGTGCTGCATCTGTCGCGTCAGAGAAAATGGTTATTCATATAGAAAGAATCTCATCCTTTATAGAAACCCTAGAGTGCTAGAATTATCAAAATACGTGTAATTTAATATGGAAATGTTTGATATATGAAGTTAACCTCTGTCCGGAATTAGTTGTTCGTTTTCTTAAAAAAACACATTTTTAAGAAATGAGTTCAAAATGTCAAATAAGTCCTTCAAATGAACTTGTTACTCATTTATGTCAATAATGCTCATAGCCTGTGTTTAGGATATTTTAGACAATCCATCATAAATTCTCTATTGAATATGGAAAGTGTACAACTAATTCCAGACAAGTGAAGACAAGAAAGTGGACGACTAAATCTAGATGGAGGGTCAGTATTAGAATATTGTTATTATGAATAATAACTAAGATAGAATATCAATACTAATATGAAACTATTAGAAAACCTATAATGAGAAACTAGTACTTAACTACTAATAATAATATTGATGACTTGTGCAGCTACACGAGCCCATATCAAATGGATAAAATACTAAGAACATGGAAACAAAGTACTTCATGTGTTCCAAAATAATCGGAACAATTGTTTTTTCAAGCTTGCCAATACACAAATTAAGTCAATAATATCTTCAATTACGTTTTAGTAAAAGTTATTTAAAAAATTGATACTATGAAAGATCATACTGAGATGAATCCCCACATGATTATATCTTTACTTATGCATCAATCACAAAGGATAGTAAAATGAGAGTGTGTGAAATTGTGGATAGTGTAAAGTTTTGCCTGTTGCGATAAAGTATTCCAAATAAGAACATATTGTGAAACATAGCGATTGTATATCGAAGATGGCTTACCCAAAAATAACTTGAGCCGATGAGTTAGAAATTGTTGTAGTTCCCATAACTGTGTCTAAATGGATAAAATCAGATACATAATAACCTGAAGTTCCACTGCCATCTCCATACCGGAATGTGTAACTACATTGACTCTCAGCTGAACATGCGGAGTCAGAGTACTCTTTTCCAAACGCACATCTTCGGTCGGAGCACGAAATCAATGAAGCTGTTGAAGAGTTTGCCGGGTCAAAGAAATCGAGTTGAATCTGTAAAAGAAAGGAACATAATGTAGTTCTGTAACACAATTATATTCTCAAAGCAAAACCTAATTAACACTTAGAAAGTTTGAGAATATAAAAGAAGGCTGTGTTTATACCGGAAGCCCGCTAGCTCGTGGACAACCATTACAAGAAGCACAACTAACCCACAAAACATCACTTCCAGTATCAATCTGTACGTAGAATTCTTTCGGAGGAGAACCTAATTGAACACGAGTGTAATAAAGCCTAAACCAAAATGATAAACTGCTGTGAGCATCTAAGTGCTTTCAACTCATTCTTCTTACAGAATCATTTTTTTCAAAATTCCCAGTGGAATGATAAAAAACAAAATGGTAAACTGCAAAACAGGACTAAAGCTCAAAGTAAAACCACACATTTATTTAGCGCCGATGCCGCTGAAATTTATGGAGTATAAGAATAAAAAGCACAGCTAATGCCACCTCATTAATTTAAATTCAGCCAAACTTAAAAACTATATGAAGCTCTTTAACCAAAAAATATATCACAATTAGTAATTACTTCAATAAAAAGAAAAATTTCTAAAAACGATTGAGCATTTTAGTACAAATCTAAACAGCTCTAAGTTCCTACTCCATCTATTCTCTTTTGACAGACACGTTCAATATAGAATCTTGTCATAAAATGACAATCCATTTAGAATATAAACTTAACAAGAATACATTAATTGGTTTTTTCCACCATTACTCTTTTTCATCCATAAATATTGCATAAATAGTACATACTCCCTCAATGACACATTATTCTTGTTTCTTTGATTTGTGCATTTATTAAATTTATGCACCTTAACTAGATTTTTCAAATTTACCCATCTTATACTTTTCAACTGACCATGTCCCGAGAAAAGCATAAACAAGAGAGGCTTTTGGTGAGGACATTTTAGATAACCTTGAAAATTTTAAATTAATAACGGTATTATAGTCATATATTCATATTATACTACTTTTAGTTTGAGTGAAAAAATAATATTGTTTTCTTAGAATGTGTGAAAACCACCTAAAGTGACACTTAAAAGAGAATAGAGTGAGATTAATCAAATATGATAAAATCTTCACAATAGAGAATTTAAAGCAGGCACACAGGCATAACTTGAAAGGAAGTAAAAGCATACATTTATTCAGCCCCTGAACTAATGAATAAGAACAAAAAACATACCTAATACCACATCATTTACTATCAGCCCAAATTAAGACTTAGTGAAAGGCATTTTAACCACAAAAAAATATCACAAATAGTTATTACTTCAGCAAAGGATAAATCTTTCAAAAAGATCTAAGTTCATACTCCCTCTATAGAAACAACAACAAAACCAGTGTAATCCCACGAGTTCCTACTCCCTCAATTATCTATAGTTGTCACTTTGAATAAAGAACTTGCACAAAAGTTCTACAAAACAAGTGGTGACAATGTTATTTTACTTTACCAAATGACCGATGAAAATGTATTTAAAAAAGTAGGGTTAGTTTGACTTGTGATTAGTAACTAGAACTCTTTTTTTGGGACGGGGGGGAGTACTACTTTTAGCCTGAGTATAAAAAATATGGAGTAGTAACGCTTTCTTAGCATGTGTGCAAACGCCTAACAACACTTTGAAAGATAATAAATCAAAAATCATCATAATTTAGAATTTAGAGCAAACATAGAGGAGGCATAACATACTCAAGAAAACTTTAAGGAAAGGATAAGCACGATAAGTAATGAAGAGAACTGAAAAATCACCCGACAAGGAAAGGATCATAAGTTCCTTGGATGGAGAAATCGACAACACCACCTAAAGAGGACTGCAAGGTTCGGCCGTGTCTGATACGGTCACGTGCTCTAAGTCGGCTCATCTCAACTCCGTGACTTGTCGGGAACGCCCTCTCCAGAGAAAAGCTCAGTGTCTCTCCGCCACAGAGCATCCCGGCCTCAAACATCAAAACTGCTGCAAACACCACCTCCATAGCCACAGAATATCTCCCACTCATTCTTGATCCACCACTATGTGCCCACTTGATGCACAAAAAAATTCTCACTGCATTCACAAAAATGACAATATTAAGCAGCTATCCATAGAGCATATAACTCATAGAAGTGCAAATATGATGAATCTCTTTAAAAAAAGAGAATAGGGGCACAGCCTACAAAAGAAGCTTTTCTAATCTTTTGGTAGTCAATGATCCAGAATCATCATGTAGAGTAACTTTAGACTAACTTTAATTTGAGTTATGATAACTACTTTTGTCTCCCAAACCTCCTTAATTCCGGGTAATTTAAGAAGAAATTTCAAAACCCAAAGAAATTTTTGCCCTAACTTTTCCGCTTCTTAATACTTGGGTATATAATAATATATATATCTCTTTACAATTACAGCCCATCTTCCTCCTTGGCAAAGATCTTCTAATCTCGGAGAGAAAAAAAAAAAAGAAACGCTCAAAAAATCATACCAATGGCAGCGGAAACCTTCTGCTTGGGGAAGAAATATATTTCTGGTTGAGGCTAAGAACAATAATAATATTAGTGACGGCTAATGATCCCTTTTTCAGTCCAATTTTACTGCACATTTGCTCAATCTTTGAGCTTCTTGAATAAGAGGCAAAAGGAGGATGACAGACTGGGAGTTCCACTTCCACTGCTGGATAGACATAGTTGAGAAGTTGAGATATGGCCGCGGAAGAAGGTTGATGATCCAATTAGACTCACTATCCACCCAACTTGCCTCCTCCCTCTAAACTCTGTGTATATTTATTAGATTCACAAATAATACAAATAATATGATTACAAAATTTACAAATTTATTATTTATCAATTTCAATAAAAAATCAATAGTCTAACATAACTTTAAAATGAAAATTTAAATCATGATAAGTTTGTGATTATTTTATTTGTAAATTTAGCAGTGCTCATATTTACGGGTGCATAGATTTCAATCATCATACTTGAATTTTGAGTGATATATTTTTTGAATTCCTAAATTCTAATTTATTTTTGCAAAAATATATACACTTTGAAGAAAATTTCACAAAAGTATTTGAAGTGAGTTTCTAACCTAACTAAAAAAATCACCAATAAAATAAGATGGAACTCATGATATAATCAATATTTAGGTCCAAATCAAAGACACAATTTAATGAGTAAAATCCATAAAAGGTCCCCAGTTATAGTTTGTTTTATATATTTAGTCCATATATACTCGGTATTAAATATCAATAACTTAGTCCGCATTTATTATGTTGTTTTTCACGAATGGTCCTTTATTAACAATTTTGTTAAGAACGTGGATAAAATTGTAAATTCACACACCTCTCTTTCCTCAATTAAGTTTCCTCCCTTCTCTCGTACTCTTTTCTCAAACCCATCGCTGAGTTTGAACCTGAATCCAAAATCGAAATGATCACTCCTCTCTCAATTGTTCGTCTTCCTGTTGGAACCCAAACTCAAAACCAATAAACTTCATAGATGAGTTTTAAGGTTTGTTGTCTTCGTGATTTCGTGAGACTAACCCATAAAATTCATCCATGAAGGTTATTGGTTTTAATTTTAATTTGGGGTCCACCAGGAAAAGGAACAATTGAGAAAAGAGAGTGATCGTTTCAGTTTTGGGTTTAGAACTTCAAACTCAACGACGAGTTTGAGAAAAAGTACGAGAGAAGGGGTGAATGGTTCAGATGTCTGAATGGTTCAGCACTTAATGGTTCAGACTGTTTGTTTCAGCCTCTTAATGGTTCAGATGTCTGAATGGTTAAGAGATTTGCCTCTGAATGGTTAAGTATTATACAGAGTCTGAATGGTTAAGACCTCTTATCTGAATTGATCAGACATTTGCTTCTGAATAGTTAAGCAATATACTAGCTCTTAATGGTTCAGACCTCTTACTGGTTCAGCACTTAATGGTTTTGACCTCTTACTGGTTCAGCACTTACCCATNTGGTTCAGATGTCTGAATGGTTCAGCACTTAATGGTTCAGACTGTTTGTTTCAGCCTCTTAATGGTTCAGATGTCTGAATGGTTAAGAGATTTGCCTCTGAATGGTTAAGTATTATACAGAGTCTGAATGGTTAAGACCTCTTATCTGAATTGATCAGACATTTGCTTCTGAATAGTTAAGCAATATACTAGCTCTTAATGGTTCAGACCTCTTACTGGTTCAGCACTTAATGGTTTTGACCTCTTACTGGTTCAGCACTTACCCATTCAGAAGTTGTCAAACAGCCCCTTACTCTAATTTAATTTGTTTAAAAATAAAAAAATTAAATTCATATTGATGTTTAAAGATTACATTAAAAAAGTTTACAAAATAAGATGTGATATTGTAATATTATCGCAATATATATTGTACAATCGGTTGTACGGTGTTTCCGTACATCCGCAACGAGTGCTCATTTACGACTAATTGAATATATTTTCGAACAAGCGAATACTCATTCTCAAATAACTAAATACTCATTTTTCTAAAATTCGCTCGAAAATGAAAATTCAAATACTTGAAAATGACTGTTTTATTATTGAGTAAATTCCATAAAAGGTCCCCAGTTATAGGTTGTTTTACATATTTAGTCCATACATATCAAATATTACTTATTTAGTCCCTAATTATTATATTTATTTCCACGAATGGTCCTTTGTTAACATTTCCGTTAAAAACGTAGATAAAATTGTAGATTCATACTCTTTTCTCTCCTCAATTAAGTTTCCTCTTACCTTTCGTACTCTTTCTTAAACTCGTCGCTGAGTTTGAAGCTCTAAATCTAAAACTGAAATAATCACTCCTCTCTAAAATCAAAACCAATAAACTTATGGACGAGTTTTATCGGTTAGTCTCAAGAAATTGCAAAGAAAATAAACATTAAAACTCATCCATGAAGGTTACTGGTTTTAAATTTGGGTTCCATCAATTCGACAAATAATTGAGAGAAGAGTAACAATTTCGAATTTGGGTTCAAAGCTTCAAACTCAGCGTCAGATTTTGGAAAGGAGTGCGAGAGGAGAGAAGAAGATTAATTGAGGAGAGAAATAAGTGTGAATTTACAATTTTATCCATGTTCTTAAGAAAATGTTAAAAAAGGACTATTCGTGAAAATGAATATAATAATTGGGGACTAAATAAGTAATATTTGATATGTAGGGACTAAATATGTAAAACGACCTATAAAGACCTTTTATTGAATTACTCTTTATTATTCAATTAATATGGCGGCGCACTAACGTGTCGAGAGTGGCAATTTGGGACGGGAAGTAATTACGTGTAGAATATGAATTCACTTTTGTTGTGATTTTGATTTTTGTAACCGTCGTTTTCACTATTTGGAAATTTTGAATCATTACTCCATTATACTTCATACTTCTTCAGTTCTTCTAGAAAAATTCAATCCTACAATCATACATTGGGTATATTGTACTATTCCATTTCAATAGATCATCCTATTTTGACTTTGAACCAAAAAAATGTATATTTGTTGGCGACTTTCTAATTTTACTTTTGATGTCATAAGTAAAAGTAAAATGTGATGAATAAATTATTAGTAAAAAATATGATGTGATATGTAGAGTAAGAAAATGTTAAGGTACAAGTGACTTTTTAATAGATCGAAAGTGAGAGATTTTTGGAGAAAGAGAAAAAATGAAAGATGAAGTGTTTTAATAAACGAAGGGGGTATGTTCATTGTGACTTAGCGAGTGATTAGTTTTTAATCAACGAGGATTATTTTACGTTTTATTTAGTGTGCACTAACTATGCACATAGTAATCTCTCATTTGTGTTTGCTATCCCACAAAATATTTTAATTACTAATTACACATCTCACTTGTCTAAAAAAAAATTCGTTTAGCGTAAATAGACATAAATGCCCTTATTTTTCTTATATCTAACCTAAGCACTCTAGCTATCTTCTATGTCTTACTTATTTTGACATTTCTCAAACCCCACTCTTTTCAAATATTGTTGTTTTACCTCGGTCAAAATATTACAACTTTCTTCCCAAAATTCAAAACAGAAAATGTTTTAGAGCATATGCAATGGCATGGAAAACCATTGCCTTGCCCTGCCATTAATGGAATGGGAGAGGATGCAATGGGCAAGGGAGAAATTGACATGCATGTCATGGCACAAGGCACCCCTATTTGCGAGGCAGGTGCGAGGCAAAAATACATCATGCATCAGATTTTCAATTCCTTTTTCTTTCTTTTTTAGGAGTATTTTTTTTGTTCTGTTTTTTCGTAGCCCTCCAATCCACTTTTCATGGTAGGGAAGTTGGCTAGCTTTTTCTTCTTTCTCATCCAACATTTTTTCATAACTAAAAATATTAATCCACTTTTTAAAAATATAATAATCCTTTTTTATAATACTATATATATATATATATATATATATATATATATATATATATATATAGACATATGTATTAAAACTAAACATTATACCCAAGCCTATGCAATTTTGCCAAATTTAATAGATAATTACAAAAATATTGAATAATTAAATTATATGGAGTACAATTTAAACTTGACATCAAAATACGTATATTTACAAAAAAAATAGGTAAATTATGTGGAGTACAATTTAAAATTGACATAAAAAATATTATCATTGCCAAAAAAATAAAAAAGATTATAATTATTTTCATTAAAAAAGATAGGTAAAATAATTTTTAATAATTAAAATACATTTAAAAAGAGTAAAAAAAATGATAACAAGAGTGACTTGCCACTGCAAGACATGCCACTCTATTCATTTGCCACACGCTGACTGGACTGATTTTGATTGGCTAAAATACTCCACGTCATCGTGTGTCATTCCATTCCATACTTGCCATTGCCCATGCTCTTATGAGATGAAAGAAGTACAACTTTAATTTAGTGAACAATTTGTTTAGGTGACCATATAACTCTTCTTTAACTAAGTAACTTTTCTTTGAAGGATATTACCATAATGGTATGACATGTGACTCATAGCCATAGTGGAGGGTTTGCACAATTCGAGAATGTACATACATTTGACGTCTGTATTTTCACTATTTTGTGATTTATACATAAAATTTGGTCATATAACGTACATTTTGTTAGATTTGTCTTGTAGCAAGCATTTATATGACGAGTATATAACATAATTTTTTGTAAACTTTATCCGATAATCAAAAAATGATTGTAGAAAAAGCAGTGGATCGATATAGGTGTTGTACAGAGTAGTTATTCTTTTCATGTGTTGTTAGTTTAATGCAAAGCAAACAATGATCATTGCCTAACTTGGTGCCGTGACTCAAAAAACTCATTCGGGTCATGCTTTAAGCCTTTAGCCCTTTACCAAATGAGTGTTCCACTACTCCAAGTTGGAAACTTGGAAGAAAACCTCTTTTCTTAGCGTTTATGGAATCCTCTTGTCCTCCCTCATAAAGGGCATGGTTGGAAATAACGTTAGCAATTAGCGTTAGCGTTTTGAAAAGGCTATCAACGGACAACGTTTAGCGTTAGCATTTTTAGAGTAATCAGCACCGTTAAAATTTTATCCAAAACGCTAACGCTAATCTCTAACGCTATTCCCAAAAAGACCCAAAATCGATCAAAGAGGTCAAAAATTATCTGAAAAACTGTTTTTCAAATACAACTATTATTTACTATCGCAAAGATCAAAATAGATTTGTTGGTTAATAACCAAATAAGACTAGGATTACCCGAGATATTCTAGTTCGATAGAAATATGAATTATGGGTCATAGTATTTGGGATAATAGATGTATTACGAAATAGAATAGTGGGATAATAGATGTATTGCGAAATAGAATAGAGTAAGTTATTTAATAGTATTATTATTATTATTATTACTATTATTAATGTAATTTAGGTTTTATTAGGTGAGCTAAATTATAAGCTCCTTCGAGGTTTCTTTACGGTTCTTTCCCTCGTCGCTTTTATTGAACCGTCAGGTTAGGTTTATGGTTAGCTAGGGTTTCCTTGTATCCTATAAATAGAGATGTAACCTCATTTAGAATAATCAATCAATAAACAAATCAAAACCCTAATCCCTTCTCTTCTCTCCCCTCTCGGTTCGCCGATCCCCTCTTTGCCTCAATTCTTCTTCTTCATCGTCCCATATTCTTAGGAGCTTGAAGACGCTCTAAGTCTTCTCTATCCGATACGTGTCCGTATCATTGGTGCTTTCATTGAGAAAATCCATTAAAAAAACCAGAAAAAAAAAGAGTTCTAGTCGCGTGTCTAAAATTCACGAGAGGAAGAGAATTGACTGCTCAATTCGTTTACTCTGTTGCCCAAGTTTCTGATTTGCTGGCCCAGAGATCGAGTTGCAGCAATTCATTGGCACATATCTGGTACGGACTGATTTCATTGTCCCACACCGGTTAAATGGGGGACTTGGTGATGGGTTTATATAGCCAAGGGTTCTCCCACCTTATCAGCTAGCTTTTAGGGTGTGGCTCTCCCTTGTGCTGTATCAATGGTATCAGAGCCAACTCGGAGTGGTGGCCTACGGAGTGGTGGCCCACGGAGTGGTGGCCTGGTGAAACCAGCCGTGACCAACGTGGTCGTGACCAACATAGCCGTGACCAACGAGGACGTTGGGCCTTATGGGGGGTCGAATGATACGGACTGATTTCATTGTCCCACACCGGTTAAATGTGGTGATGGGTTTATATAGCCAAGGGTTCTCCCACTTTATCAGCTAGCTTTTAGGGTGTGGCTCTCCCTTGTGCTGTATCAATATCAGACGGACCAGAGATCGAGTTTCCGATTTGCTGCCTAGAGAATTGACTGCTCAATTCGTTTACTTCCGTTGAACATCTCTCATACGCCGCAAGGCTTGCCGTCGGACGGACCACAAAAACTAGAAGAGCAATAGTAGGAATTTGAGACAGAACTGGAGCCGCCACAGGCCTTAATTCCAAGTAATACCAATCGCACCAATTGCTCCAAAATTTATTTGTATCACATCCAATTAGCAGCCGTTTAATTCTGAGGGGTTGGGATTGTTTGTTTCTACATAACCATTGTTTTTTGTGATTGAAATTTGTGGCTACCATACTTTTGGGAAGAAGATTTTCTGCATATTGCTTTAATTTGTGGGTTAATTCCTTAATTTTGCTACTTGCCAGTGCCTCCAAAGTGCCAAATGATTGGGTTATTAGGCTATTGTTTTTGTGATATTTTGGGTTGATTTGAACCCAAGAATTGGAAGAAAAAAAAGAGAAGAGTTGCTCCTCTAATCTGAGTTGACCACCGCCGATTATTGTGCAGCAACCCAAGTCAGAATATTGATCTTCCATCGTATCGTCCGGGTGGCAGATTAGTTGGCATAACTATGTCCTCGATTTTTGATAAAATTATCACGACAATGGACGATGCTTTAGGCAAACTTCTTGGGGTGTTGAAGAATATCTTTTATGGAAGAGCTGAGTTTCACGAAGGTGTCTGTATAGCTTATGATCACGTGGATGAAATTCTAAAGGCGCTCCACTTGTTTCGCCATCTTTTAGGTCTTCCATATTCTGATTCTGATTTATTTGTATTCAATGTGAATATATCTTGCGCAATACAAGATTTGGTTCGTGATCCTCTAATTGCGTTAAGTCAGGTTTCCTTGGAGTTCGCAAGTTTTAAAACAAAGATGATGGACGCTATAAGAAATCTTCTTGGCATTCCCATTGCTCCACCTGATCTGGCCCCTACAACCACTCTACACAATCCTACATCTAAGGACATGGAATCTGTGGAGCGTACTGTTCATAATTCAATGAGAGTTCCTGAAGTTGTTGATGATGGTGTTTCTGTTGAAGGTATTGTTAATGCCTTTCCATCAGATCTTGTAGTTGTTGATACACCCGTAGATGCACCGGGTAAGGGGGAAGCTGCGAAGGATCAAACATTGAGCAATGTCATCATCACATGTAGCCTTGTACCTTCGTCCAAAACCGCCCAAGTAGCAGATGTGAATTATACGCAAGCGGACATCTCACTCTCCTTTGATATCATCTAGTCCTTTGGCCATGCGAATATAGTGGAGTCTGAGTATTGGGTTTCACCACAAGTAACTAAGTTTGTATTTGCTCTTTTCTCTTATGTCCATCGCTATACGCCAATTTGCAGGCTTAATGAAGATCTGTCATCAAGTGGCCATAATCTTTAGGTCAATATTTTCTCTTGTCCAGAAGCATGAGTGGGAGCCTCCACCTTGAGGACAAAGTGGTTTTCTAAGGGGGTGAGAGTGTTATGGATAATAGAGTAAGTTATTTAATAGTATTATCATTATTATTATTATTATTATTATTATTATTATTATTATTATTAATGTAATTTAGGTTTTATTAGGTGAGCGAAATTATAAGCTTCTTCGAGGTTTCTTTACGGTTCTTTCCCTCGTCGCTTTTATTGAACCGTCAGGTTAGGTTTAGCGTTAGCTAGGGTTTCCTTGTATCCTATAAATAGAGATGTAACCTCATTTAGAATAATCAATCAATAAACAAATCAAAACCCTAATCCCTTCTCCTCTCTCCCCTCTCGGTTCGTCGATCCCCTCTTTGCCTCAATTCTTCTTCTTCCTCGTCCCATATTCTCAGGAGCTTGAAGACGCTCTAAGTCTTCCCTATCCGATACGTGTCTGTATCAAGAATATTAATTATTACTTTTCTTATTACATTACATCATTATTGTATTGTTAATATAATTCTTCTCCTACTTAGATTAAAATTCTCTATTGTAACCCTAACATATAGATATGTATCCTTCATTATTTAATATGACCAATTATTATCATATGTATCATGACATCAAAGCTAAAGTTCTCAAAAACCCAGCCTTTCCTTTTTTGACCGAGAACATTGCCGATCTCTATTCACGGCGGTCGACTGTCGGAGAGCATGGCGTCACCGACCGATCTCGACGGCCATGCCTAACAACCACCGTCCATTATCCCTCTCTTTCTCTCCAAAAAACAAAGTTATATTTGTTTGTGTTTTTTTCTAGAGATCGGGAGCATTGAAAGTGATAGAGAAGCAGAGAACGACCCAAAAGGAGAAAAAAATAAACTCCTCGTCCTCACTCTAATTGCCAATACTCTCACCAGATAAAACTCAGGAAACGTAATCTCCAGCTCGTTCCTCATCCAACAAAGATGTCGCCCTCTACTTCTAAAGGCTTTCCTTACAAAACTGCTTCCGCCGACTCAATTCCAGTACCTCTGTTTCAAGTTGCTCCTCGTTTGTAATTATACTTTATATATTAGAAGATTTTGTTTTAAATATCACACATGTCACATAATGTAATCAAACTCATTTTTTCTTTCATGATTGACATTTTATTTTTATTGGAGTTCTACTTTTGGAATAAAGACAGATTTTTTTTTTTGCATTTTTTTATGTTTTACTCCTATTTTAGTCTTTTTATTTAAACTATTTTGACTTTCAATTTTTTTTTTATAAAAATTAGAAAAATGAGAAAATTTTAAGTAATAAAGGGAAAGGTGAGAGGTCTTATATAAAGTTAGATGAATAAAACATTCTATGTCACTATTTTATCCATAATTTTTTAATATAGTTTAACATATTGATGTATTCCTATTTTATCATGTAGATTAATATACAGAAATTGTCTTATTCATATTAAAAAGTTGAAAAAAAATAATGAGTGAATCGTAAAAATAGTGAGATGGAAAAAGTAATTTATAAACTATAGTAATGAACATAACAATTTTCATAACAATAATAATAATAATAATAATAATAATAATAATAATAATAATAATAATAATAATAATCACATTAAGAGTATATCGTTTTTAGAGTAATTGATTGGGAAGAAGAAAGAGTTTGAAAAAAATGAGAATAATTGGAAGAAACTGGAATGAACTAGAATAAAATGGAAAAAACTAAAAGAAACTGAAAAAAATTAAAAGAAACTAGAAGTTTAATATTCAAGTACTAAGAACAGGTTTTTAGAATATACGGAATAATTTTTAACTTTTAAGATACAAATAACTTAATTCTACATATGACAACACTTGAATAGTTGTAAGTTGACGGAGTTGTTAACCAGATTCAACTCGATTGGATCAATTAACTCTTTACCCCACTTGAGGTCCGGTGTAGATTTCAAAACATTCATGTACCGCGGGTGCTGACACTAGTGGATGGGGGTGCCATCTTCTTTTTGTGGTAAACGAGTAACTGGCCTCTGTGTCCTTTCGTCAGCGTCCTTGCCATTCCATTCTACTTCAAATTTCATCAAAGGTCCGTTCTTTCACTCTTCTTTGCTTTCCGATGGCATTCCAATTGGGGCGGGCGGTTTGTGGCTTTTGGTGAAGCTTGTGGTCGGCTGGTGCGGGGTAGGATGGGCTGGGTGTGCGGTCTGGTGCAGGGGGGAATTCGAAACTGCTAACTAGGGATTGTGATTTGGTTGTGCTGTTGTATTCTGTGATTTGTAATGAAATTTGTTGGTTAATGGTGAAGAAGAACAATGTAAATTTATATTCCATGCGCATTGACGCATTGTTAGGCGCATTTGAATTTTGAAATGTCTGAAAGGCAACGAGTTGTTTTCCCAACTTTCACATTTTTTTTAAAATACTCCGTAATATGTCAAGACGAATTACTATATATTTGCCAGAATATGAAATGACCTATCATTTCCGAACCGAATATTCTTTTCTTATAAGGGTTCTGATATCAAAAACCCTTTTTTGTTCAGTCATCTTTAACCAGTATGTATCGGTTACAAGCTCTCACACAGCAGAGATGCAGAGCAACTCAGACTGCCTTCACTTATCTGGGTTCACTAACATCTGCCAGGTATTTATTTCTCTTGGTTTTCAAGAACTGGGAATTTTTTGTGTTTGGTTCTTTGGATTCAAGAATTATGTAATGGATGAGATGATTTTTTATTTTATTTTATTTTGTGTAAATTAAGATAACACATGGAATATCATTTCAAGGTATTTAGTCACTTGGGTACAAGAAAATATGAATTGGTTTGAAGTCATAGGTCCAAATAAGTGCTCCCGTGAAAACATTTAGTTGAAAAGTAAGATCCTTTTGGCTTTTACTATTGAACATTGAGTGGGTTTGTCTAACAGTTGACCCCATAGTGTCTTCTAATCAACGCCATAAAAAGCCATAGGTGCCATGCACTCATGCAGTGACCAGTGCAACTGTCTAAGGTAGGTTTAATCAGGGTGATATGTTGGATTCAAGTTGAATGAACTGGCCTAAGAATAAAGGGACATGTGCTGTGAAGTGGACATGATAAAATGATATACGGTATTCATGTTCTGTTGCTTTTCCTGAAAGTATGTTGTAGGACATATGTACACAACGTAGTGATTTTGTTTGTTCTGATTTCAATTTGTACATTGTATTTTGTTGGCAGAGAGTTCCTCGTTGTTGATTGTCTTTCATTTGTTTAATGCATGCAGGTCCAACCATTCCCGTTCCTATGCCGCTGAAGAAGTGGCAAGCAGAACTAGCAATTCAATACAATTTTCAACTTTAAAGGTTGAAGAAATCTCGGGCTCTCATCCTGCTGAAGTGTGCAACTTGGGTATGTAATACAAATATCAGCAGATAAAACTTCACTGATAATCACTTTGTAGCTAGTAGCGTCGCTCCAAGCTTGTTGTAGTATCTTATTATCTTGGCTAAAATCCCACTTTGGTCCCTATGAATTTTCTCACTTTTGCTAATTCCGTTTCTACATTTTTGTTACCTTATAGTCCCTTAGTTTTTTAAACCGGTGCCGATTTGGTCCGTCAATCAATAGTGAGATTATATGAATGACTAAAATTATGGGCTAGTAGAGTTGGTGGAATTTTAATGCAAGTGCAAAACATTGAAGTCCCATTTGACAACCATGCAACAGTTAAGGGACCATTGTGCATTTCCCTTCCTTTCACTATCTTCTAGTTCGCACACCACAGATTATTTTGACAGTGCAGCCACATAAGGGATTGTATTCATTTTTTAGTGCAGGGAAATTGGATAAGATCTTCCAGCTGTAACACAATATTGGATCCCCTAAATGGGGAGTCATTTATAAAAGTTGCAGAAGTACAAGAAGCAGAGCTACAGGTAACAATTGAATTATATAGTGTTCAATCTGCATCCCAGTCAAAATTAATTACAGAGTAATATACACCGACCCCATACTCTCCACTTGTGGGATTTTACTGGGTAGGTTGTAGTAGTAGTAGTATTTTAACCACTTTGCACAATTGCACCAATGTTTGAAAGAATTAGGGTAGTTGAGCAGGTGCTTTGGGCTAGGTGGTAGTTTTCTGCACTTCTGTGCTTTGTATGCTTGGTGTTCTCTGCTTGCAGTGCTTTTCCTTAGTTAACTTTAGTTTGCGTTTTGCCTCTGTGTGCTTTGTGCTTTCATTGTGCTTTCGCTGCTTTATGTATCTCTTGTGATCTTATCTTATTTTTGCTGCTTGAGCCGGGGGTCTCTTGGAAACAACCTCTCTACTTTCGAGTAGGGCAAGGTCTGCATACACACACCCTCCCCAAACCCTACTCTCGTGGGATCCAACTATTTTGTTGTTGTTTGAAGGAATTAGTTTGCCTTGTTTGTCTGAACATTTAAATGTCAATCTTTTTAGATCATCACTGGCTCTTTGTCTTGATTTTTGCAATGTGCAGCCTTTTGTGGAGAGCATGTTGAGGTGCCCCAAGCATGGACTACACAATCCATTCAAAGCACCAGAAAGGTTTAAAAAAATTAGTCTTCGTTCTTCTTTTTGTGTTTGTGAATCATCAATGTCAGTTTAGAGTAAACAAATTACAAATCACAAGAAAAACTTGGTTTTCTAATTTAGTCTAATCGTGTATTAGTTGATAGAGTTTAGGTTTGAGTTGGTAAGCAACTAGGCCTTAAAACACATGGGTCATGCTACAATTTAGCCTAATCCCAAGTAAACTTGAGGTTGGCTGCATGAACCAAAAGAGAATGACATTCGATTATTCACCAACATGCTTCCTTGCCATTTTCCTCTATCATAACCTTGCTCTTCTCCAACTTCAGGTACGCCAAATTGCTCCTAATCACCTCCATCCATGTCTTTTTGGGTCTCCATTTCTTTCTTCCAAAATTTACTTCTCCACCCTTCAAATCTTTCAACCAGTGGATCATTAAGTCTTCTTTATACGTGTCCTAACCATTCTAGTCGATTCTCTCTCAATTTATCTTCAATAGATGCCACTTCTACATTCTTTTAGACGATGCCTTTTCTTATTCTATCATTATATATCATATGTTTTACTTGTATATGGAACTTTAATTCCACCAAATATATTTCTCATGATCTCTCAAGAATTACAGAATAAAAATAGAGACAAAATAATAAGACTCAGGAATAGTAGAATTACTTCCTCTTATTTTTATGCCTTGGGGGAGTATTTATAGCTTCCCAAGCTTCCTAATCCTATTAGACTTCTTTTAGGAAACTAGGTAAACCTTTCCCCGTGTAATTAAACCTAGTGAACCGACTCCAGCCCATGAGAGTATACCTCACGGCCCAGGCGGGTTAACCCGCCAACTAACTCATGGGTTACCTTAAGGTCTTGGGCTGAATCCACTAGGCGTATGTCTTGGATCAATAATATATCGGGCTAATTACATGGATATTTATCTCTCGGCTCACTTGTACTGGGTATCCTCTCCCGTAGTTTCATAATATGACTCATGAGCTTACTTCAGCAATAGTTTGATCAGTCATAAAGCTCACCATTATTCTTCTATAGACGAATCAGAGTACATTTTCTCTATTGTGTTGACATCTTATATACCCTAAATATCCTGTTGAAGAGCATTGTCCACAAATCCAGGCCTATATCCCCAAAACACCGCCAAGCCTCAATTGGTATATTGTCGGGTCCTACTACTATGATTTCATCTTTTTGAGGGCCTCTCTAACTTCATTTCTCTGGATTTGACACATATATCTTGATTCACCTCCTCTTCCCGTATGGAAAGATCTCCCAAGGCTTGAGTATTTTTTTCATTAAAAAGCTCATCAAAGTATGACTTCCAATAGTCATTCGAGGGGAACATTTCTCCATTAGTCTGTAGAAATTGAGAATATCGAGAATGTTATTGATAAACTAAGCTCCCCACTTGCTTGCATTCATACATGAGAATGAATACAACAAAAATTAATCATTACCTACCAAATAGTAATCCTTACCTACCAACATAATGGTGCTAATGATACTAAGGTATATACTCTTATTATACTTAATTTACCTCTAAGTTATTCAATAAAATTCAATAGTCCTAAATATGCCAATTCATACATGATTTTTTAAAATTATTTTCAGGTATCTAATGCTTGGAGATGTATCTGCAAAGGCAGCTCGTATGCTATCGTTGCCCAAGGTAATAAAGTGCAAGAAAGGATACTTTATGCTCCGTATCGATTAGGATGTTGATGGGTCATTGTTTGTTCTGTTAAGTGATTATTTTGGTGGACAATCTATGATTTCCAGGTTTCTCACTTCTTCACAAGGTTAATACAAAGGGTGGCCCCTAAGAGTTACCAGCAAGCTCTTGGTGAAGTTATTGTCACCCAAAAGTTTTTAGAAAATTTCTCTGGTGATCAGGTACTAATGTTCCAAGTCAACTGTTTATTCATATGAACAATGTTGGGAACGGAGAGGAAAATACTTCGATACTCAATCAAGGTTTATGGATTCCCCATTCAAAATAATAGTCATAGAGCATATGAACTAGAGCTTTAGCCAAAAGTTAATGTGATTTTATTTCTATAAGTATGGACTATGCACTAAGAACCCAAAGGGCTTGCGCCCTCCTGCATTAACAAAGCTGGATAGAGAAACAGAATCCTTCTAGCAGATCAATGAGTCCCCAACTACATTAGGGTACTAAGCTTATTTAAGACAACTTACTATTTCTAGATCCTAGAATATTTCTGTGTGTGTTTTCTGAATAATTGGATCTTTAAGATTCTAGAAAGATTCCACCATTCTTTCATGTGAATTATTTAAGCTATAGAAATATGCCCATGACATTACCTTAACATCATTGCTTAGTCCATCATTACTTAGCTCACCATGAAATCATGTCTTAACTCACCATGACAATTGACAACATGACTTAGCTCACCATGATGCCATCTTTCTAAATATAGCCACACATATGGGTTTGTGTACATTTATTAATTGTTCTTAAATGACATGAGTAGTTTTACATGGTATGGAGCCTTGATATTTTCCCAAACTTTACACTTTAGAATTTATTGATTGCAAAAAAGAAGTACGAAGTAAATAGTCAGCAAATAACCACTCATTTTCTTTTTTGTGATATAATCCGCTATTTTGGTGAGATGGTCATATATACACCATGACCTTCAATGAAAGTTGATCATGGTTTATAATTGGTGCTTGTGATGTGTTTGTCTAAGGTAATAACAAATGAACTGTAGAAATGACATATAATCTATAATACATTCTCATGGCCCATCTAATTTCTGGTAAATCATATGCTAACTGCTTATCATGTCATTAATCATATTCCATTTTATGTCATTAACAATGCAGTTTCTTGGCCTGCATTTTTTCTTGGTCTTGAGCCCTTTCTTTTACCTCCTGTTTTTGGCCACATTTGTTTGTCCATGACACGAGTCCCTGCCTATCAAAGTTATTTTGCAAATTCACGTGTCTTGTTTATTCTGGTCTTCAAAAGGAGTATCACTGTTATTCTCTAGATCTTAAGTGACGATTTATGTATGCTGGCATACTGTATCAAATCTTTTGTTTTTACTATCCACAATACTCGATAAATCCTCTCCCTTTGAGCAATTGAATTTGACTGCCAGCATCTCTACACCTTCCCTTGATGTTATAACTCCTATTGATCTAACACCACCACCCCAAAAATCATAACTCAGTGCCTCAAAGGCTCCCGCCCATTCCAGGGTAAGGGGAGGTCAGATGTACGCAGCCTGACCCTTATGTTTAAAACAAAGAACAATTGTTTCTAGATGACCCATGATGAGTGTCTAAAGTAGTAAAGTTGCATTGTCACTTCACTACAATAGAAGCACACACAGTCAGAAAAAGCCATTTTGCTTTATTCAATCATACCCAAAGCCGCAAAGTAGTGAATTTTTGGCTCCAACCTATTGATCTGACACCATAGCTGATAGCTCATAATTATTTGTCACTCACTCTAACTATCACTCATATTTTTCATTTATCCTCATAGGCTCATACATCATAGCTCTTATCCAAATATCCACACATAAATACCATAGCTACCATAGTTGTTAAGGTGTGTCCTCCTTCAAAATTAGGTGGTCGGGCAGTTGATTAGACGTCGGTTAGTCATTGTCTCAAGTTTCCGTGGGATACTTGATATCATGATAATCTAAAAGCTATCTCATTTGGCTTCTTGAAATCTGGCAGGTCCGTTTTCTGGCGAGGTCTTTTGGAGTACCTGGGAATCATCTTGGACAGATCAGCCATGGTTTTCGCTGGCCTTATGGTCCTGTAAGGTTTTAAATACAAATATTCTCATTTCAGATTTCAGAGCAATAGAATGTGCAATAGAGAGTCATGGTGATCATCTTTTGCTTCTTCATGTCTTCTTATTTAATTTGAAGTCCCAATGTTATTTTACTTTGACATATTGATTGAATATTCATTACATATGTGAAGTATCCAAAATCACTAAAGATCATGTAGGTTATTTTTCTGATCAGATTTGAATAATGTATTAATGAAAAATATTTATTTAAGGTATAAATCATGGTTATCAGGGCGAGAAGTCGAGTCGAGTCGGTGAAGAGGAGGCTAGTGGACTAGTAGTAGACTAGTCGATAAATTACAATTAGTATTCAAACTTTTAACTATATATATATATATATATATATATATATATATATATATATATATATCTTGATTCACCAAAGATAACTATATATATTTATATGAAGAATTATCATTACCAAAACAAGATTATGTTTAAAGGTAGCACATAGACTCACATAATGAGAGGGTACATAAGAAACAAATACCCTTTAATCTTCAAGAACAACACACCAACCAAGATAACAAGCACAAAAAGAACATATTAAAATATTTAATTCCATGTTTTGAGTTATCAAATACCATCATCCAACGTTATGCCACCATGACGATGGGCTTTGGCGATGAGAGAGAGATGCTGGGAAGGGTAAGCGACTCTCGCGATGTGTTGAGTGATTGAGAAAAGCCTTTAATTCTTTAAAATTTAATGAAATTTGGGTTGGGTTGGGTTGGATCAAATTGGGCAGGGTTTGAAATAAAAGACTAGTCGTCGCCCCGGTGTCGCCTAGGCCTCGCTTTGGACGACTGGACGATTAGTCCCCTTTCGGTCGCTAGGCGACACTCAAGTCGCCACCTAGAAAACAACCAGACGACTAGTCGGTGACTAGTCGTCGACTAGGCAATGACTTAACAACCATGGTATAAATTCAATCACAATGCCTTGTTGTGTTCTCTCAACCATGTTCCATCATTTTGAGTCATCTTCACAAACACTTCTCTTCATGGAGTGATTGGAGTCTATCTAGGATTTGCGCACAGCAAACCACAAATTCTCTTATTATTGTTTTCTTTGTTGTGTTATGTGATATTAGTCCTCTACCAAGATTTGTTGTGTAAGCGACTCTCGTGATGTGTTGAGTGATTGAGAAAAGCCTTTAATTCTTTAAAATTTAATGAAATTTGGGTTGGGTTGGATCAAATTGGGCAGGGTTTGAAATAAAAGACTAGTCGTCGCCCCGGTGTCGCCTAGGCCTCGCTTTGGACGACTAGACGATTAGTCCCCTTTCGGTCGCTAGGCGACACTCAAGTCGCCACCTAGAAAACAACCAGACGACTAGTCGGTGACTAGTCGTCGACTAGGCGATGACTTAACAACCATGGTATAAATTCAATCACAATGCCTTGTTGTGTTCTCTCAACCATGTTCCATCATTTTGAGTCATCTTCACACACACTTCTCTTCATGGAGTGATTGGAGTCTATCTAGGATTTGCTCACAGCAAACCACAAATTCTCTTATTATTGTTTTCTTTGTTGTGTTATGTGATATTAGTCCTCTACCAAGATATGTCTATATGTGCATATTTATGGTTTCATTCTATATTTTCATGTTTTTGGATAATATGCTGAAAACATCTCCCCTTGATTTAAGGAGGTTTGTTCCTCCTTTTGTCTAGCATGTGGCAAACAAAGAGCAGCCGATTTCTCCTTGGTTTCTCCTAATTTTCTTCATCTAATGATAAGCTAATATCTCCCATGTGTGTAGCTAGTGAATGGCGTGGAAAGACATGAGAAATTAGCCATGCTTAGTTTGTTTTTCTTTTCAATAATCATTAACCTTGTTGGGAATGTTTTCCCCCCTTTGTACTACTATAAAAACCTCGGCCATTTGGCCTTGTAATAAGCATGAATTTTAATGAAATAATCTTGTGTGATGCTATTATAGCCAAATTCCTATTTTTATATCTTAAGAGTGGTCCTCTTAAGTGCGAGTTTTAGTTAGGTGTGTCATATCTTAACTATATTTTAGACTTGGGGCTTGTTCTCTTCACTTGATCCGATTTATTTTGATCTAATTGGAATGGTTTGTCTATCCCACATCGGAAGCTGAATAGAAAAGTAATCGGTATATAAGCTCTTGAGTTGAACTAAGTAATCGATTGGATTCAATCTTTTAATGTGGTTCAGCCCAAGTGTCTTATTACCCAATCCAGTTATCCTTTCCACATCCTAAATTCTATCATAGAAACTTAATTCTTCTAATTATCTTGAATGGGTCACGACTATTAAACTATATCTCCAAAGTAATGACAAGAAACAACAACAACAACCCAGTTGATTCCCACTATAGTAGGGTCTGGGGAGGGTTTGTGTACGTAGACCTTGCCCCTACTCGGAAGTAGGGAGGCTATTTCCAAGAGACCCCCAGCTCAACTTGCACAAAAAATATGGTAGGGAACACAGTATAGCACAGATAAAGGACCAAGTACAATGGAATGAAAGTCCTGCAAGCAATAGCAAAAGATTCCAACCAAACACACCACACTACAAAAAACCTTTGCAGCACCGGGCTCCTATCCAGCTACTCTAATCTTAGTTCTCCAAAGGTTCCTATCTAAAGCCATATCCTCAGTCAGGGTGAGAAGTCCTAAATCCTGCCTAATCACCTCCTTCCAATTCTTCCTAGGTCTACCCCTTCCCCTACTTCCCCCGATAACCGTAATCCTCTCGCATCTCCGTACAGGTGTCAGCATTCCGCCGTCTCACATGACCAAACCATCTCAACCTCGCTTCCCGCAACTTATCTTCCACCGGCGCCATGCCTACCTGACGTCGGATAACTTCGTTCAAAATCCTATCCAACCTTGTCTTCCCACACATCCATCGTAACATCCGCATCTCCGCCTCATGCAGACGACGCACATGAGTCTTCTTAACCGCCCAACACTCTGCCCCATATAACATAGTAGGTTTGACTACGGACCGGTAGAACTTACCTTTCATCCTGGGCAAAATCTTCGGATCACACAACACCCCTGAAGCCAACCGCCATTTGGCCCAAGCCACTCCAACACGATGTCCAACATCCCCGTCTAACTCCCCATCAACCTGAATTACCGAGCCAAGATATCGAAACCTGTCTACCTTAGGTACTAGGTGAGAGTCAATCCTAACTTCCACTTCTGATTCTGTTTCCCAACCGCGGAAACGACATTCCATGTATTCAGTCTTGTTCCTACTTATTCTGAATCCTTTGGTCTCAAGGGCAAGGCGCCATAGTTCCAACTTATCGTTTAGTCCCTCACGTGGGTCGTTGATAAACATAATATCATCCGCGAAAAGCATGCACCATGGGACCCCTTCTTGAACACCTTGCGTCAGGAGGTCCATCACCAAGGCGAACAAAAAAAGGGCTAAGGGCAGACCCCTGGTGCAACCCCATCCCTACCGAGAATGACTCAGTGTCGCCCTCGGAGGTCCTTACTCTAGTCCTAACCCCACCGTACATATCCTTGATCGCGCGAGTGTACGCAATGGGAACTCCTCTCGTCTCAAGGCACCTCCATAAGACCTCCCTTGGCACCCTATCGTACACCTTCTCAAGATCAATAAACACCATATGAAGGTCCTTTTTCCTAGCCCTATACTCTTCCATTAACCTCCTCACGAGGTGAATGGCCTCTGTAGTCGATCTGCCATGCATGAAACCAAACTGGTTCTCAGAGATGCATACCCCTTTCCGCACCCTATACTCAATGACTCGCTCCCAAACCTTCATGGTGTGGCTAAGCAGTTTGATGCCTCTGTAATTCTCGCAGCTCTGAATGTCACCCTTGCCTTTAAACAGAGGGACCAAGAGACTCTCCCTCCACTCATCAGGCATCCTTGCTGTCCGGAAGATAACATTGAAGAGTTTGGTTAACCAAACCCACCCACCACGACCCGCATGCTTCCAAAACTCCACCAGAATCTCATCTGGTCCCAAAGCTTTCCCACTACGCATCCCGCGGAGAGCCCGAACCACCTCTTCCAGGCAAATGCGACGGCAATACACACGAGACGCCCCGGACTGCCCCAGCTCATCAAGAACTAGCCTCTGGTTTCCTCCCGCATTTAAGAGTTCACAAAAGTACTCCCCCCAGCGTTTAGCCACCTTGGCAGTCTCAACTAACACTCTACCATCGCTGCCCTTCACGCATCTCACGTGGTCCAGATCTCGGGCCTTCCTCTCACGCACCTTAGCAAGCCAGAACAGTGGATTAACACCGCCTTTCTCCTCTATATCCTTGTAGAGGCGTTCAAAAGCGGCATTCTTTGCCCTCGTAACCTCTAACCTAGCTTCTTTACGTGCCTTCTTGTACTCCACTCGTAATGCCGCTCTTTCCTCCTCAACATTATAGCCCATGTACCTCAGATATGCCACCTTCTTGGCTTCCACCTTACTTTGGACTGAATCGCTCCACCACCAATCACCCTGACACCTACTCCCAGAGCCAGAGCTTACACCTAAGGCTGTTTCCCTGATGCAGTTAGCAGTCCGCGCCCACATATCAGTAGCCTCTCTGGCCGATTCCCACGCACCTTTCTCCTGCACTCGCCTGATCAGCTCAGAAATATTCTCCCCACTTAGTCTCCTCCACCGGATTTGTGTGTTGCCACCCGAAGCTCTCCTATGTTTCACCCACCTGATCATGACATCCCTCACCAGTAGCTTGTGTTGGGTACACCTGCGCACGAGAAGATAGTCGATCTGTGTCGTCCCCACTCCACTAACAAATGTAGCCAAATGATCGTCTCGTTTAGGGAAACAAGAGTTAGCAACCACCATATCACTCGCTCTGGCAAACTCCAAGAGTGAAACTCCTGCTGGGTTCCTGCTGCCAAAGCCAAAACCACCGTGCACGTCCTTAAAGCCCTCGGCCGAGTCTCCAATATGGCCATTGAAGTCGCCTCCAATGATGACTTTCTCGGTCAGTGGAAAACCAACAACCACCCCATCCAAGGCGTCCCAAAACTCCCTCTTAACTTCGTCTTCCAAGCCAGCATGCGGGGCGTAAGCACTCACGACATTGATCGCACACTCACCCAAAACCAACTTGATAACCATCAGACGATCACTAATCCTCTTCACCTCCACCACAAACTCTCGCAGCTCCGGCGCCACCAGAATACCGACTCCATTCCTTCTCCTCTTGAGAACTTCCACCAACTCAATTGACTTACCTGTGAGGGTCCCTATGTTCCATGAGCCGAAACGCACATGGGACACTACCTTACCCCTCCGCGAACCTCTTACACCCGTCTCAACCCCGAGATATGACCTTAGAGCTACATCGCTAACCCACGCCACTACACCTACACAACAGCACCAAAAAGCAAAGCAGAGACGAGACTACTAACACAAAAACAGTAGGTACGAACCACTGCTAAAGAAGGTAAGAGCAACAATACAAATAACAGTAAAAGAGTACGGGAGTAGCACAAGTAGTTAGCAATCAAAGCAACACCTTAACACACAGTAAAGCAATAACAGCAATCAAATCACATAAGAGTGTTAAAATAGCAGTAAAAGTAATGAGAACAAGGAGAAGGTTTGGGGCAGGGACTGCAGCTAGAGTGTGGTGAGGGTGGGGGTTGGGTTAGGGCTGGGTTGTGTACTGACTCGGGATGATGGACAGCAGACGAGGCTGGATGTCG